GTTCAATCCCCCAGCACCACATGCCAGCCAGCCCCGCCCCCTGGTGGGCTGAGCTCGCCACACACACACAAATAAATAAAATTTTTAAAAAAAACCAACAAAAAACTAGACAGCGTGTCCTCATCTTATTCATCAGATCTGGTGAATCTGGCATTGTGTGGCTTCTGGCTGTTCCCCAAAGCCGAAATGACCATGAAATGACCACGTGAGGAAAATGTTTGAATCAGTTCAGGACATCAGTGCAGCTATGACAGCACGACAAAAGACACAAGCGAGGACTTCCTGAACTACTTCAGAAAGTGGCAAAAATGATGGGCTAAGTGTGTTCAAAGCGAGGGGGAGAGTTTTTTGGGGGGATTCACGGCAGTGCATCTTTTACTGTAAAATATTTTTGATATCTAAACATTCACTCTAGAGTTTGGTCCTCCCTTGTATTATATTTATAGTCATGGTTGACTGCAGTGAAAATGAGATTGCAGAATAAAGTCAGCCGAGGGCAATATCGAGTAGCGCTTTTGTGGAGTACCATAGTGTGATACCAGGCAGTAGTGCCAACTAAGATTGCCAGCTCTGCTGAGTCTCAATGGCTTAAGGTTTTTATTGGGATTTGTGTTAGTCTGCCCAGCTGGGTAATCAAAATCCACAGAGTTGAGGACAAAGGACATTTCTTTTCTCACAGTCCTGGAGTCTGTAAGTTCAAAATCAAGGTGCTGGCAAGCTTGGTTTTGGTGAGCGCTCTCTTCCTGCCCTCCTAGCTGTGTCCTCACATGGTTTTTCCTCTGTGACGGGGTGGGGTGGGGAGGGGAGATGTTGCTCTCTCCCCTTCACTCCCTCCCTCCTTCTCTCCTTTCCTTTCTCCCTTTTGCTAGGACTATACCCAGGGGATCAAGCATCCTAAGCACATGATTTATAAGGACCTACATACACATCCTGAGCCTCTCTTCCCCTCCCTTTCTCTCTCCTTTTTTTCTTCTTCTAGGACTAGAGCTTTATCCCAGGGCCTTTGCACTGAGTTACATTGTCCACCTCTTTCTATTATTATTGTTATTTTGTAATATATTTAGTACAGGGTCTGCAGGGTCTCATTACACGGATCAGACTTGTAGTGATTCTCCTGTTTTCCGATAGGTTCTGGCCCTAGTATGAATTGCTGAGTCATCATTGTGGTCATCTAATATGACTGAAGCCCTTAAAACAAAAGCCCATCTTCCCAAGACCACCTTCCCCCTTGTTCTTTAACTCAGTTCAGGGTGCAGTTTCCTTTCACCCTTCCTGCCACCTCAGGGAAGACTCCTGATCAGCTCCCTCAGGTATATCTAAACATCCCTTCAAACTCCACCCCAGCAAAAGGCCACTAAAGCCTCAGCCTCCTTCCCATTGTTCCAATGGAGAGAATTTTTCATCTTCCCCACCTTCTCTCCCTGTCCTCCAAGATAATTAAGCACCTTTCCTTTTTTCCTTCTGCCTGTTTCTCTGCTGCGCCAGGCACCTGAAAAAACCCATCATTTTCAGCCTCCCAAGGCTGGGATTACAGGTGTGCCACCACACCCAGTCTCAGTGGCCATCTCAGCATGCCCCAGGGGCTGGGATGGTATGGACATGCTGGGGATTGAACCCCAGTCCCTGTGTCTAAAGAATAGTTTTAAAGCTATAACTAGATATAAATTTATAATTTGCATTATTGTTAAGAGAGAAGATAAAATGTTCAACACAGAAAGTTAGAAGGAAAAAACCAACATAGAAGAAGAATGAAAGAATTAATAAATACCAAACACAAATTAGGTCACAGGTGATGGTTCATGCCTGTAATTCCAGCACTCAGGAGGCTGAGGCAGGATGATTGTTGTGAGTTCAAGGCCAGTCTGGGCTACACAGCAAAACCCTGTCTCATGCACCCCTTCCCCCAAAAGAATCGAACAACCTCCCCCAAAATAGGAAGTAGTAGAATTAGCATTTGGGGTTATCTGAGTAAACTAGAACAAGCTCACGGAGCCGACAACCAACACCATACTGAATCATGAAAGGTACAATGTGAATCCCTGGTCCTTGGTAAGAAAATGGATCTGTGGCTAAATACTAGAACAGGGTCCACAGGTGCTGGCATTGGTGACAGCAACCCTTTGGGGTGTTCTGATAGGCTAACACCACAGATGGCCCCTGTCTGTCTCTTGAAGGACATGGGTAGCCGCCTATCACTGTGTAAGCTGCCCCCAGCTCTACTTAGCAAGTATCGTGAATCACTTCCAAGGCCCAGGAAGGGGAAACAACCTGCCGTCTCCCTCCTTCCTCCTCCTTGTCAACTTCCAGGACCCTGCTGGTGACAGAAAACTCCGTGGTCTATTATAACTACTCAATTATTGGAACCTTCACGGTGAAGCTTAAGGTGGTGGCCGAGTGGGAGGAAGCAAAGCCGGATGGCACCTCGAAGGGGATTGTGCAGAAGACTGGTGACTTCTCCACCTCGCTGAAGCTGGAGGGTGAGTGGGTGCAGGGCAAGCAGGTGCAGCCTGACAACCAGGTCCCCAAGGAGCCCCAGGTGCCACCCATTCCAGATTACAGTGGCCCCAGCCTGGCGCTGGGCTCCCTTCTCATGCCCTGTAGTCCTCTCGGTATCTCCTTTGTCCTCCCGGCCACAGACGGGGCACTGGAGCCCATGCACATGGTCCCTTGGCAACCCAGTGGCACAGCCAGCATCTGGCCCAAGCTTGCCTGCTCCCAGAGCCCAAGCGGGCTGCATCCACCTCTTCTGCGCAAGGTCGTCAAAGCATGGTGGGCACCTCAGGCTCCCACATAGGGTGGGGGTGGGGGATGCCAAAGCCCATCTCTCCCTGGATTTGGGCAGGCATGGGACATTTCTTGGTTATTACCAATGGAGTAGTGCTTCTCCAGTGCACAGGCGATGGCTTGGTGACAGTGAGCAGGATACTTGGTCTTTGCCTGCTTCTCCAACTACTCTCTCTAAGCTGCTCTGGCACTTGCTGTTGCTGATGGGGGCAGTGCTCTGGACAGAGCTGTGTGACCCTCCCTGGAAGAGGGACTGTCTTAGTTACAGTTAGGGTATTTGCTGGGACAAATACCCTATACCCAAAATGAAGGAAGCGAAGGTTTATTTAGGTCACAGTTAATGGAGGTTTCAGTCCATACTCGGCTGGCTCCAAGGCAAAGTGGCACATGGCAGAGGGCAGCAGTTCATGGTAGTGGCAAAGAGCAAGAGAGCAAAGGCAGGGCTGGCCAGATAGCTCAGTGAACTAAAGTGCCTGCTTAGGCAGAGTGTTGGGGCCAGGCTTTGATCTCCTGCACCACACAGCTGTGCCACCCCTGTCCCTGGGGTGCACTGAGATGACGATTGAGATTGGGTGTGGTGGCCTGTGCACCTGTAATCCCAGCTCTTGGGAGGCTGAAAACAGGCAAATCACTACGAGTTTAAAAAAAAAAAAAAAAATCAAAGGGAAGAATAGAGACCACAATGGTTACAGAGAGCAAGTCTGTCTCCCTTAAATTGCATTCAGGATATCCGCCCCAGGATGGGTGTAGCACTCACACACATAATCCCAGCAGCACTCACACCCATAACACCAGTGGATCATGAGTTAATCACAAACTCTGTCCCATGACTGCCTGAGGCTTTGGGAGGACAACTAGACACAAGCCATAACAGGGACAGAAGAGATGTCAGGATAGTAGCCACATAGCCCAGAGCCACGGAAGCTCCAGGGTAGCAGTTTTCAGACCTAATGGCATCCCTATTTCTTACAGAAATCCTTCAAGGCATCCAGGTCTTGGGGCCAACCTTGGTTCAGACTTTCCAAAAGACAACTGTGACCCTGAACTTCCTGGGGAGGTAAGTGACCCCTCACACCACGGGTGCCCTGAGGCTTTCTACCCTCTGACAGGTGTTCCTGGGGCCAATCTGTCCTGCACAGCTCCAATCTCAGAGTCCTGGAGAGGTAAGCCATGCCTCTGTCTGCAAGGTGAATTTCAAAAAAGCATGGAGGGAACCAGGCATGGTGGCACACAACTCTAATCCCAGCACTCTGGGAGACTGAGGTAGAAGGATGGTAAGTTTGAGCCCAGCCTGGGAAATTTAGCAAGACCCTGTCTCAAAATAAAAAGTAAAAAGGGTTTGGAGCATAGCTCGGTATAAAGGCCCTGGGTTCAATCCCCAGTACTGGGGTTGGAGCTTAGCGCCTGGAGGATGGGAGGCCATTTGGGCTTGGTACACCTGGTCACTGAGGGGCTGTGTTTTCCTGGGGCCTGAGGTAGTGTGAAATGGGAACACCGGTGGAGCACTCCCTGGCTGGACCTGTGTTTTCTAGCTTCTGAGCCAGTGCTGGCCCTCTTTCTAACCCAGTACGATTCTAGTTGTCCTTAGATCCTGTTAAACTCCATCTCCTCTGGGAAGCCTTCCCTGACTTCTCCCGTGGAGTGCTCCTTGGTGCCCCACCTCTGTGGAACACGGTGTGCACATTTCTGCCTCACTGGCCTGGGATCCCCTCAGGGCCTTGGGGCCCTCTTTTCTGCACCATTGCACTTCCTGCTGCAGAGTGTGAGGTGCTTAGAGTCTGCTTGGACTTGGCCTGTGCCCTGCTCCTCACTGAGCCCTTTCTGAAAAGCTGTCTCTATGCCCTGCAGCCCCCCTCTGACCATGTGCTGGCGGCTCAAGACTGAGTGTCTGCCCCTGGAGGAAGGGGAGTGCCACCCCGTGTCTGTGGCCAACACAGCTTACAACCTGACTCATACCTTCCGCGACCCTGGAGACTACTGCTTCAGCATCCGGGCTGAGAACGTCATTAGCAAGACGCATCAGTACCACAAGGTCCAAGTGTGGCCTTCCAGTAAGTGACACCTCAGCTGCAGTGGTAGTGTCACACAGGCAACCAAACCCCCTGCCACCACCCCCTATAAGCCAGCCTTCCCAAGGCCACCAGCAGCTGTCCCCACCAACACTAGCACCATGAATATAACTCCTCACACAACAGCCAATGCCACCATGGGCCAAATGCCAATACTGCCACCACCAAACACTAGCAATACCATAGCAACCACCTCTACCAACCTCATATCACCACCAAACTCTACCATTACCATAGCAACCAGCTCCACCAGTACCATCTGCAGCCAACTCTACCAACCTCATATCCCCGCCCATCAATTCTACCAAGCACCACAGACAGTAACAATCAACTCTTCTACTACCATTAGTGCACAGGCAGCTAACGGTTCTCCTGGCACCGTCATCACTAGCACCACCCCCTGCATTCCCACCTGATCGCCACCACTGACTCTTCTCACCCACTGCCATAGACACCACCAGACTAGTAGCAGATCCTGAGAAAGTTCCAACTCAGAGCCCTCAGGAATGACGTTTCAGCCAGGCATGATGGTGCAAACCTGTAATCCCAGCACTCAGGAGGCTGAGGCAGGAGGATTGCCGTGAGTTTGAGGCCAGCTTAAGCTACAAAGCGAGTTCAAGGCCTGGCTGAACTACACAGAAAGACCCTGCAAAAAGAAATGGCATTTTAGATGCCTTACCCAGTACTACTTTCATGCTACAAAAGGGGAAACTGAGGTGTGGGACAGCAACAAAACTGGATGTCAGCCTGAGCTCAAACCTCACTACTAGACTCTGGTCCAGTGCCCATCTGTAGGAGTAGGAGTTCCTTGCAGCGATCTGAAGTTCATATCAAACCTGGCTCCTGGGCCTGCCTTCCAGGTTGGCCCTGCAGTATCCCTGGTGGTGTCACTGTCTCTTCCAGTGTCCCCAGTGCTTCTTTGAACCCCTGAGAAAATGCTGCCCTCCAGGCCCTGGCTGAGCTTGTGGGCCTTGTCAGGTGCCCTGGGCCCTACTGCCCTAGAATTGACTGGGCATCAAGGGTCCAGGATTACCTGAATTCTCCAGGGAAGATGGTAATCTAGGTGATCATACCAATCATCTCTCTCTCTCTCTCTCTCTCTCTCTCTCTCTCTCTCTCTCTCTCTCTCCTCTCTCTCTTTCTCTCTCTGACAGGGTCTTGCTGTGTAGTCCAGGCTGGCCTTGAACTCATTATGTACTCCAAGTCCACCTTGAACACATGCTAATCCTCCTGCCTCAGCCTCCTGAGTGGAGGGATTATAAACACGCACTGCCACACCCCCTTTTCATGGGGAGCAGCCTCATTGCAGAGGGTGTGGGGAGAATGGGAGGGAGCCCACACTTCCTGGCCACCCACATGTGCCAGGCACAGCTACATCCCTCCCCTCCATTTCTCTTGATGGCAGCGTGGGCAGTTATGTCAGCACCTGATAGCCTGTTTGGAGCTAGGATTCAAAGCCAGGGCCACCTAGCGGCAGACACGGGGTTTTGCCCCCTCTGCCATGCTGCTTCCAAGCAACAGGCTCAGGAGGAGAGCCCAGGCGGGGGGGGGGGGGGGGGGGGGGAAGGCTATGGCAGAGGTCACCGGGCTGCTTCACAGCTCGGCTTCCCTTCCCCAAGCCCCATCTCCCAAAGGAGGTGGGGGAAGCAGGAAGCAGTGCTGTCTGTCACGGCTTAGACCCAGGCGTCCTACACCATCATTCCTGTCATCTGCTATGGGCCAGGGCCCAGTCACTGCGCCCAGTCCACACTTCAGAGATGGAAAACCTTCTGGCCCCTTTCAGAGATTACTGTTAAGGAACCCATGGACATATTTAAACATCCTCCCCACAAGGCAGGAGTGGTGGACTCACACTTATAATTCCAGTGCGGTGCAAGGCTGAGGCAGGAAGGTGGCGAGTTCAAGCCCAACCTGGGCAACTCAGTGACTTAGCAAGACCCTATCTCAAAAAAAAAAAAAAAAAAAAGAAAAAATTAAATGAAAATAAAAAAGGACTAAGTGTAGCTCAGTGCAAAGGCCCTAGATTCAATCCCTGGGTACTTGGGAAAAAAGAAAAGAAAAAAAAACAGGAAATTTCCACACAGTCCAATTTCTTTTTCTTTTTTCTTCTTCTTCTTCTTTTTTTTTTTTTTTTTTTTGGTGGAACTGGGGATTGGACTCACACCCTTGCACTTGCCAGGGAAGCACTTGTTCCACTGAGCCATCTCCCCTGCCCCTTCCAATTTCTTTTTGCCAAGTCCTGGGTTGGGGTTGCCTAAGAGAGAAGAGAAACCATTGGTGGGGTTGACTGACCTCTCCTGGACTGAGCCAGCCACCTGAGGAGGAGTATTTGCGTGCCAGCTCCCGAGCCCTTTAACACTCCCGTGTCACTCTCAGGACTCCAGCCAGCTGTCTTTGCTTTCCCGTGTGCCACGCTTATCACCGTGATGCTGGCCTTCATCATGTACATGACCCTGCGCAATGCCACTCAGCAGAAGGATGTGGTGGAGGTGGGTGCTCGTAGGGATGGGCCGGACAGTTGGGCCCTACCCAGGAAGGAGCTGAGGCCTGGGGCCAGCCCAGGATGGGTCCTGAGGTTAGAGTGGGGTGGTGTGCCAAGGGGACACCCGTGGACTGTGCTGAGTTGCTGAGTTTCAGCAGCCTCTGACCTGTCTCCTGTTCTTACCCTTATGTACACATGGTGGCAGGTGAGCATTTCTATGCCTCCACCACTAAGATGCTGAGCTGATAAGGCCACATGACAGGGTTCCGGCGGAAGGTGATTGACCCACAGGGTTTTGTTCGCCATACACAGCTGATTTTGACTTTTCTCCCATGTCTGACAAGAACCAGGAGCCACCCTCTGGGGTCAAGTGCTGCTGCCAGCTGTGCTGTGGGCCCTTCTGGCTGGAGTCGTCATCCGAGTACCTGGAAATTGTCCGAGAGAACCATGGGCTGCTCCCGCCCCTCTACAAGTCTGTCAGAACATACACCGTGTGAGCAGCCCCACCCGAACCTGTGTCAGTGTTCACTGATGGTCAGACTGGGAGCTTTGGGCAGGGTAGTGTGTCACTGAGCAGGAGGGGTCGCGTGGCCGAGTGTCCATGCTGGCCATCCATCTGTACAGTCCGGCTGCTGCCGTAAGACCCTTACAGCCACCTCCCCAGCCATCTGCTCATCTGTACAGTGCAGCCCCTGCTGTGAGCCTCTCTCAGTCACCCCACCCCCACCCTGTGCCAAGCAGGACTCTGCCACTTCGCTGGGATTCTACCAGGGTGTCTGGCTGCCCCTCACCCATTCCTCTCCTGTTGGCACATCTGCCATCCATTGGGGACTTACAGCTCCCTCCCTGGGGAGGCCATGTCTATGCCAGAGGCAGAAAGGAGGCCACAGATGGTCCAGAAAACACAGTGGAAGGTCCACACAGCTGGACACGCCTACAGAAAGGAGGGTGTACACTCATACACTCACACACCACATAGAAATCCACACTTGCCATGGATCATCTCCATGATTCGCTTTGTATCTGTTAGGGCTATTGCTGGAGTGTACTTGAACTAGAACTCAGATGAAACCTGACTTTTCCCCTAGGCTGTCTAGCTCCTGGGTTGGGCCTCTCCCTTAAGGATTTGTCTCTATCAACTCTTGTCCCCATTATGAGGCCACCTTGCTCTCTACCTGCTTTCTGGGGGCAGGATGAGTGGTGTGCAGTGTTTTATAAATTTGTTGGCTTTTATCAAATGTCAGGTGCACCATATCCATTGAGCAGACAGCGTTGCAGAAAAAGGACAGGTTGAGGTTGTGGAGGTGTGGGTTCCTCATGTGTGGGTATCAGTCAAGGGGTCCTTTGGCTCCCCAGCTGCTCCCAAGGTGACCTTGGGAAGGAAGGAGCAGGCAGATCAGAGGTGGAGGAGGGGGACCCAGTCCCTCTCATCTCCTCCAGCCTAGTGACAGGGGAGGCAGAACCTCCAGGAGATAGCAAGATGAGGAGGCCCAGGTGTGCAGGCTGGTAGCCTGCAGCTGCTGGAGAGAGACGGGCTGGACCACAGGGGCAGGGCTCTGTCGCTGTACCTATTTGCTCTCAGACTTTGTGCTGAAAATTGTGTTTACATTGTCATGTGGCTCATTCCCATGAAATACTGCATTATTGCTCAATAAAGCTTGAGTACTCTGAGTGTTGCCAAGCACCCCGGATGTAACAGTCTTTCTCTCCTCATGCAAAAGGTGAGGCCTTGCAAATGGCAAGAGTGATGCCCAGACGCAGCAGGGCAGCCCTGCTCTGGGGTCGAGGGCACAAAAGGGAGCCCACCAGGGTTCTTGAAGGTGGGTTCGGGTCCTGGGTGACTTAACACGAAGCCCCATCTTAGGCCCCAGGTAAATGTGAGAACCTGAGTGGGAGCATTGGCCACCCTGGGGGCTGGCCGTGAGTGCAGACCTTCGGGTGCCACCCCATACCCAAGTTAGCCTCTGGGAGGGGCGGCCACCTGCTGTCACAAGCTGCAAGATTTTCAGTGCCTGATCAGAGCTGAGTGCCTCTGGTCTCTGGCAGGCAGGGCATCTCTGGCTGACCTTTGTGAGAACTGCTGGGCTTCGTTTTTGTTCAACTACTGTTGCACTTAGGAATCTGGAATGGGCCTGGGACTGCATTTCTAACAAGTCACTAGCTGCTGTCTGAGGACCACGTGTCCCCATTTGCAAAGACCAGAGTCTGGACCTTGCTAAGCCTTTTCCCTTCTGTAAGAGGCATTGGACTCTCAATGGTTTCTTCTCTCCCACTACCCAACCCCCCAGCAGATATGCCTTAAGCTTCAGAGTGCGTGGGCCCTGAGAGCCAGGGCTGCCCCTCACCCCACTCAGTACCACTGCGAGGCACCTGGAACTTTCCCGTCAACTCCAGCAGCATGGGCTGGAGCCACAGCACCCCGCTTCTGAGCCCCAGGCAGGGCTCAGCTGTTTCAGGGTTTGTGACAAGAATGAGTGGGGGCCCTTGTGCTTTGGATGTTGGAGAAGGATTGAACAATATTTGGTTGGGCCATTCTTGCCTTGATTTACTTTAGTATTCTTAAGAAACCAGGGCCAGGTGGTATTTCAGACATTCCCTGCTGGAATAACGTACAGGTACCTGTTGTCTGTGCATGTGTCTTGCACGAACACAAGGTAAGAAAATGCAGGACCTGCTAGTAGGGGTTGTTCATAGTGCGAAAGGAGCTACAGCTTTTCAAAGACAGGTGAATATTGTTTTGCTGAAAAACAAAATAAACATGGTGGTACATGACTGTGATCCTCATATTGGATGAAGATCTTAACTTGATCACCTGTGAAGACTCCTATTACCAAGTGAGGTCACTTTTCCCAGGTCCAGCACATAATAGGTGCTCACTACAATCTTACTACTACTACTACTACTACTACTACTATTATTATTATTATTATTATCATCATATTTTAACTTGAGAAGGATTCTTTTTTTGGCTGGTTCAGGCTGCCTTAAGGGTGGGTCTGGTGTGGCATGTGGTGCTGGGGATCGAACTGCGGTCCCCTGCTCCTGAGTTTGCCCAAGCAGGCGCTTTAGACAACTGAGCTAACCCGTAAGCCCCTACTACATATACTTTGGATGAATCCTTATCTGTGGATGAGGCAGAAGAGTGGCATTTTGCTCAAGGAAATACCAGAGTTAGCCGTGGATGGTGACACACACCTGTGACCCAGCATTCTGAGAGGCTGAAGCAGGAGGATCAAGATCAGCTCAGGCAACTTAGCAACCTCTTAAGACCCTGTCTCAAATAAAAAACCAAATGGGACTGACAATGTAGCTCGGTGTTAAGGCCCCGAGTTCAATCTGGATTAAAAGGAAAAAAAAAACCAAAAAAAAAACAAAAAAAAAAACAAAAACAAAAAAAAAAAAAAAACACAAAGAATAAGCAAAACAAACAAAAATCTGTGTTTTGTTCCCCCCAAATTATCAGCCACATACAAAGCTGGCTGGAGAGAACCACTGGGGCCAAATACAGAAAACCCAAGAGCCGTAGGAGACATCCCCTGCATCCCCATTCTTGATGAGAGGTGCTGGGAGCAACCGTACCATGCTACAGTCCTGGTTTATTGCAGGTAAATGTGGATCCTATGACCACAGTGGAGTCACGAGAGAATCAGGTGATTATTTATTTATTTATTTATTTAGTATTGAGGAACCCAGGGCTTTGCATATGCTAAGAACATGCTCTTTCACTGGACTACACCCCGGCCCCAACCGTTGTACTTTTGCTCACACTGATAACCATATTTTCCAGCCAGGTATGGTGGTGGTGCGTAGCTATAATCCCAGCACTCTGGGAGGCTGAGGCAGGATAGCAAGTCTGAGCCCATCCTGTCTCAAACAAACAAAACAAAACACAAACTATCTACCTTTAGGAAAAAAAAAATGCCTTACAAGCACTCAGTGGGATTCCACCTGCCCTGGACAGAATGGTGTATGTTAGGAGGGGCCTATGATTTCAAGCCAGATACAGTTAAGATGTGTTCCCATCAAAAATGTGGACAATAAATAAATAAATTAAAATAAATAAATAAATAAATGAGGACAAACAGGGGCTGGTGAGATGGCTCAGTGGTCTAAAGCACCTACTTACAACAAGCTTAGCAAAACACAGGGACCGCGGTTCAATCCCCCAGCACCACAAGCCAGCTAGCCCCGCCCCCTGGTGGGCTGAGCTGGCCACACACACACACACACACACACACGCACACACACATAAATAAAATTTAAAAAAAATGTGGACAAACAAACATACACAGTGGATTGGGCTAAACACTCTTGCTGACACATCCATAGCCACCTGGAACTGTAAGGACCTAGGGTCTTTGCAGGTGGAGTCAAGTTAAATTAGTCCAGATTAGGATGGGTGCCGGCCCAATGACAAATGTCCTTACAGGAAGAGAGATGAGTTTGGACACAGATGCATATGTAAGGTAGACAGCTGTGTAACAGTAGAGGCAGAGATGGGAGTAAGGCATGTTACTTAGCTTTCCTGTCACTGGGACATAACATCCAACGCCCACACTGTAAAACAGGAGAAGTTTATTTGGCTCATGATTTCAGGAGATTCAGTCCATGGTGTACTGGCTCCAAGGCAGGACGTCATGGCAGAAAGACACGATAGAGCAGAGATGCTTAGTTCTTGGATACAGGAAGCAGGACAGAGAACAGTGCCAGAGAGGAAGGGGCCGGGGACCAGATATGATCCCCAAGATCAGACTTCCGGATCCCATCTAGACACACTCAGAAGTGTTCTGTGCTAGGGGGAGGGAGATAGCTCAGAGGCATAAGCACCTACCTGGCAAACACAAGGTCTTGAGTTTGATCCCAGGACTCACACGCTGGAACTTGGAGTGGTGGCACAAGCCTGTATTCCCAGCACTGGGGAGGTTTGAGACCATCCTGGGGGGCTACGAAAGTGTGGCCTAAACTGCACAGTGAGACCCTGTCTCAAACAAACAAACAGTGTTCTGTGCTAATTCCATAGGTATTTCTTAATCAAATCTTATCAACACCAGGATTAATAGTCACATGAACCAAGAGATGCTAAGGCTGTTGGAAAACACAGGGACCCAGTTTGTGGGACTTTATCACTACTGCCACAGAAAGGAATCTCTTTCCCTGTGTCAATTCTGGCAGCTCCATCTCACACATGACCTTTTTATCCAACAGGGAATTGTCTAAATTAAACCCAGAATTTCAGCTGGACAGGCTGGTCCACACCTGTAATCCCAGGACTGTTTGTTTCTTTTCTTTTTGAGACAGGGTCTTACTATGCAGCTTAGGCTGGCCTCAAACTCACTTTGTAGCCCAGGCTGGTATCGAACTTGCAGCAATCCTCCTGCCTCAGCTTCCCGAGTGCTGGGACTACAGGCATGTGCCACCACACCTGGCTATCCCAGGATTCTGAAATGCTGTGGCAGGGAGGTGGCAAGCTTGAGCCCAGCCTGGGCAACTTCTTAGT